AATGTATGAAAATTGGTGAAGAGTTAGTGACACATACTTAATCAGGCTAAATTAAAGTAATAAGAGAGTATAGGACTAGAGAAGAACTATTTGTTAATGTTGTAAGAAATGTGCTTAAGGAGTTTGAAATATATTCATATGAACCTAACGATGAATGGTTATAGTAATGGCTCACATTATTTAATGAACAAGATTTTGGAAAAGGAAAAGTGGACTTAATAAAAGTAATATGATGTAATACTAAGACCTTTTGACTTTGAGGATCATAGCATTGAAAATTATTATATTTAAGGGAGTATTTAATGAAGATGCAAGGCTTAGATCTTGGTATTAACTTGTATGAAGCATAGAGGCGTAGTTAGAAATAACATAAATACTCAAATACTTTAAATTTTTTAATGTTTGAGGTTTTGTAAAATAATTTTTCAAATAATGACTGGTGTTATAGGATTGAGGTGAGCATACGGTTAATCTGGTAGACCACAATTTAAAAGATTGTTGACCAAAATATTAATGGTATAGAGGCTTGGTATAAGAGAATAAGACTAGTTTCAACTATGTGTTGATTTTATTTTATTTTTTGATAGAGCTAGCTAGTTGAAGTATATGTGGTGGTGACGTGAGATGTTGTATACCATATAATGAGAGGTAAATTGTTAGAACTTAGTGTTTACCTTCTCTTTTAAAGTAAACTATTTTAATAATAGACTAGAAAAAAATTCTTGATCATCTTTCTAAAATGAGTAAACTTCATATTTATATTTGAGAGGATAAACTATGTATATAATATATGAAAATGATACAAAATCTAAAAATTATCAAAAAATACAGTTGGAGCAAAGTCTCAAACATTAAGGTAAATAATTTTAGATAGTTTGGAGCAAGATATGAATGATATTCTAAAATATAATCTATAATTTTTATTACTAACGTATGCATTTACTTGATTTAAAAGTTGAAAGGGAGTCATGAGAAATTATTTATTATTGAACGGAGGATAACAAATGACTAAGGCAAATATGCCATACATCAACTAGAGCAACAACTAAAGTAATAACGATTGGCTGGGTGATTTATGAAGTTAACGATAACTCATAGATGTTGTCTTTATTTTAGCCTCGGACCAAGAATGCTCTCATGCTCAAATCATTTATAAGAAATAAGTTAAGAAAAAACTCAATATATATATTATTTTATTTATAAAATTAAGAGAAAAAAATAAGATTTTTTTTTATGTGAGATGCATATAAATATCATCAAGAGTAAAATTATTTATGTGTGAATTAAATATTATGAAATTAGTGTAAGTGATAGAGATTCTATTATCGTTACCAATGATGATATCTTCACTACTCTCATTATCAGTATAGATGAACAAATTCTATAGATCGAAAGTGATATGTTAAGAATTACCAGAGTCAAGAATCCAATTGATTGAATAAGTAGTCGAAATAATCATTATGTTTATTTAACGCCTGTTGGGTGTAATAGTAGGCTTGGGTCAAAATCAACAAACATTTGCTATGTGTCCAATTTTATCATAAAGCTGGTAAATGACTTTATTATTATTATTATTATTATAACGTTAGAACTATTGATAGTTATAGTGATTATTGTTGAAGTTATTTTTTGAATTATTTGGATTAAAATTATTATCATGGTTGGAGAGTTGATAGTGTAATAGAGGGTGATAGCTCTATTGTTTGATCATTTATTAAAATTTTTATTGTTTTAATTATTATCTTCTTTAATTTTTTATTGAATTGAGCTATGATAGTCTCCTCTTTCTCTCTTCTAATTTCAGATATGTTTCTTGATTGATCAACCTATTATACATTTCTTCAAATGATACTACTGAATCATATTCCTAAATTACTACTATTAACTTCTTATATTTATTTCATAGGCCATTGAAAGTATAAACAATGACATCTTGGGGATGGTCTATTAAAGTCAAATCATCTATAATAATTTATAAATTTTGTACATAATAAATAATAATAGTTTTCTCTTATGTTGTTTAGAGTAAATAAAAGACTTAGTATACAAGTATGAGAGCAATTATCAAATATAATTTATAACTTTGACGCTTCTATTATAGTGTTGCACGAAAAGATTAACAGTGCTATAATGATTAAGACTTGAATAACTTGTAAAATAAGATATATTTGTTATAGTCATAATGTGATTGGGATTTACTATTGGGATGGGTTTTATTGATATTTGAATCTTTTCTAATGAACAACTAAAAGAGCCATTTACAAAGAGAAGATCGATGAATTGTGCTCGCTAAATTACATAGTTGCCACCTTTAAAGAGCTTGAAGGAGATTAGAGTTATTGTATTGATAAATATGTCTTATAAGTTGAGATGAATTATTGTTTCCTGGGGAAACAATGATTTGAGCATTAGATATGTACGAGAAAGATATGTTGAGAAGATATTATGATCAATAAAAAAAAATCCAGAATTAATTGATGATATAGTTTTAATGCACAAATGGAGGAGATATGAAGGAGATCAGATATGTAAAACTATATATGTAGGATGTTCATAAGAGGGTGATCTCTTCCTTCCCCTCCTAAATCCTTCTCTCGATCATGAGTACTAATAGTGTAGTCGAGAGGATGGTGGAAGGCAGTGGACGGTCGCTGAGAGGTTAACCATAAATTTGAGGCATTAGTGAGTTCGATAGTTAGTGAGAAGGGGATGTCATTGATGAAGATGTTGAGTAGTAGTTGTCGGTGTAGGAGCAAAAGCTACGCTTGCTAAGTTTTTAGAACTGAACAGTGATAAAGAATCGTCAGAGAAATAAGTCAATTACTAGAGGATGTTATTAGATTAGCAAGGTAGAGTAGATCTATTGTAGAGCATATCATGCTAGGAGATTGGTTGAAAGGAGTCGCACGTCTTTATCTTCAATGCAATGCCAAAATCTGAAAACGAGAATTTAATACTTATAAAGCAGCAATAGGGAGAGAGAGGAAGAGAGAGCATCAAATTATGTTACCAATTGGAAATATATATTTATACAGGTTTTAAGGGAGAGATGTTCTCAATCATGTACTCTAGTTATGCATTCAAATTATATGCTTAAGTCAGATCATCAAATCATAAATTAATTAAGGATTAGAGCATATAAAAAATAATTTATATTTATCTCTATTATGATCTTATATCATTTTAGATCACATTGAGGTCTTGTGAAAAAAATGAAGAGAATAGAAAAAATATACATAACATTTATATGCAGATCTACAAAGTGATACTTTACTATGTTCAAAATATCCTATTGATTAAGACATCCAGATCATGGATCTATGATTCTTTTAATTTTAATTTCAGTATTAAAATTTTTTACATTGTAATTTAATTTTATCATATATATATATATATATATATATATATATGAAAATAAATCAAAAGTGTCTCTAAAATGGGATGCATTTAACTTAAACCTTGTCTATTTTGATCATTTCTAAAAACGAATAAATATATTTTTAATAGCTGAAATATGATAGCTTGCCTTGGGAATATAATTGTTAGTTTCGAGATTTTACAAGTTATATATATTTGAATCCCAAATTTCGAGGTCCATATTCGTTGTTTCTTAATTTCATAGTGATATGCATCTAATTTTTTTTTTTCTATATTTTGATTTGTATAATATAAAAATCATACTCAGTCATTTAGCTCACAAGTTTACAATATTTAAAATCATATAACATTTATTATAGTATAACTCTGAATTAAAAATTCTAAAAATAATTAATTTGTCATTTAGACATATGATCTACTCCTCGTGATCCAAAAATTGTAAAACAAGAATATTAGTCCATCCAAACTTAATATGCACTAAGACTTACATTAGCAAAACTAGTCATAATGTAAATATTTTGTCTAAAATTTAAAAATAGGCTTTCTTACTCGCTTTATAAAAAAGGATCGTAAATGTAATTTTTATATATATTAGAAATCATAAAGTTATAAAATGATAAATAAATGTAAAACAAATCATTATTTTTTAATACATTTTAACTAATGAATACATAAAACCATAACTAAGAATACAGGTCGTAGTTTATTTATCTCAGCACCTATTGTTACAATCATGCTATATCCTCATCACAAGACATAGAGCAAAATTTGATCATTGTTCTAAACATATTTATCTTTGTGCCAAATCCAAGAATAAACCAGTTTCAAAATAAATGCCAATATTTAATTCCATTGGTAGGATTCGAATGGATAACTACGCAATATATAATATAACATATTGAATGGAAAAAAGAATTATGTGTCATTTCAAATTAATTATATGCGACAAAATTAGCTGTAACAACACAATTAAATATAATTTATTTTTATTTTCATATTTATTCATTTATTTTATCATCAACACGTATTCTACGTCGGTCGAATGGACGTGAAATCAGATGTCGTTTCAATGTCCATGAAAAGGATAAGTAACGCTTGAATCCAATAGGATTGCATGAAATAGTCATATGCATTTAATATGTATAGTATTTTATTACTCATAGATATCGTTACATTATTTTTTGGCATCCAAAAAGGACTTTTCGAAACCATTATTGGGTATCAGTTGTCAATTTCTTCTAAAAGGCTGAAACAAAAGCAAAGACTTGTGCGTTGAGACGAAGCAACCTTTCTCTCCTTTGAATGAATGATTCAGCGGTGAGTTTAAAGAAGAGGTCTTTGTGTTGCTACGTGGAGTTGATTGGACCATCGAACACCTACGCTATCACCTAGAATTAGATTCATGTGTAAGCAAAAAGCTTTGCAAACTATCGGTGATAGATCTATCAGTTGGATTTGATTTGAATTTATGTGCGTAATAAATTTGATTTTCTAACTCGATGCCTTCGATGTTTAAATTAATAATAATAATAAATATTTTTGAGTGAAGCGAATGAAGTTTGTGGTCTTCTCCCAGCTTGTGCGCACAGCGATGCTGCTAATAAGCCAACACATGTCGGACATGGAAATGAAATGATCCGTCTCTAATAACTAGAACCACCTTCCAACACAACTTGTGTGGAGATCTGAGATCTCATTATCAAGAAACATGGCGACCGATCCATTCAGGTCGTCGTCGGTCTGTCGCCGATTAGAACACGAGAAGTTGAGGAAGATTTGGTGTACTTACAGAAACTACTTTGTACAGTCAAAGTTACACTATTACATTGTTAGGTGCTGCTGCTTTAGCCCCGAATCCCAGTTTGATTCCCTTCTTCTTCTTCTTCTTCGTCTTCCTATGATCGTTACTGCTGTTATGGTTGCTATCGAGGGTGGCGTTCTTTCTCCCAGCAGTCCACCACCGCCCGCTACCCTCATTGGTCGCCGGCACCAGGGGCCCGGTGGCTGGGCCACACGGTATCGGTGGTCGGGCGCACCGAATGAGCGGCCACCGCACGCTTGCAAAGAAGGGGTGCCGCTTGATCTCGGCCGCCCCCAGCACGGACCCCATCCGTTTCGCCGGGTCCCGCACCAGGAGCTGCGCGATCAGGTCCCTCGCCTTCGCCATGTCGCCCCCTTCGACCACGTCGCCGCCGTTGGTGTCTGGGAGTTTCACCTCCCGCGTCAGGATGTTCCGCAGCGTCGCCTCCTTGGTTGCGCCCTTGAAGGGGGTTCGCCCGTATAAGAGCTCGTAAAGGAATACCCCGAACGCCCACCAGTCGACGGCGTTGCCGTGGCCACTGCCATTGACCACCTCCGGAGCAAGGTACTCGTGGGTCCCGACGGATGCCCTCGAGAAGGCCGACGACGGCTCCGCCACGCACTCGAGCTCCTCGTCCTCGCCTGAGGCGCTGCAGCCTACGAGGCAGCAGAGGAGGCCACTCTTTCGGCGAGGAAGGCGGCGACGACGGTGGAGTAGTGTTGGCGAGACGTGGGAGCGGAAGGAGAGGTCGAAGTCGGAGAGCATGACGTGGCCGTCGGAGCGGAGGAGGACGTTCTCGGGCTTGAGGTCGCGGTAGACGAAGCCGAGGGCATGGAGGTACTCGAGGGCGACCAGGACCTCGGCTGCATAGAACCGGGCTGCTGCCGGCGGGAGGCGATGGCCTCGGCGATGGCGGAGGAGGGAGTGAAGGTCGCCGCCGGGGCAGTAGTCGATGAGGAAGCACGCGTAGTGTCCGGCGTCAAGCCGCGCGTACAGAGTCGGGAGGAACGGGTGGTCCATCTCCGCCAGCACCCGCGCCTCCGCCCGCACGTGCCACATCTTCCCCCGTCCGCCACCCTCGCCGGTTTCCTCATCACACTCGGAATCATCCGGTTTCTTATAGTCGGACGAGGTTCGCGAGAGCGCATCGAGGTCGATGACCTTCAGGGCGAATTCAGCAGGAGAATGGCCGTCGTCGAAGCCGTGGAGACGGCAGTGGAAGACACGGGCGAGGTGACCAGAGCCAAGAGGGCGGAGGAGGCGGAGATGGTGAAGGTGCAGGAGGCCATCGGGGGAGAGGTTGGCTGCGGCGCGGAGGGCGGACCAGTGGGGATCGGAGCAGTTATGGGGGAGGGGCTTCAGAGCGAACGAGGCGGAGGAGGGCAAGCTGAGACTGCTGCGAGCACTGAAGGTGGAGGCGGACGTCGTTGAGCTGGTGAAGCTGCTGTCAAGGTCGGAGTAGGAGTCCGGGGGGAAGAAGCTTAGCCTCTCCTCTTGATCCATGTGGATGTCGGAGTGGGAAGAAGGCGATCGAGAGAGATGGGCTTTAAAGGGCGAGGAGAGGCGGCTTTTAACTTTGGTCGACGACCCGTTCCTCCTTATTCTTATCTGGTGGATCTGCGGGTGTTTCCATGCACCATTACAATTAATGACAGTTTCAGAGAAGGTGAGACCGGCTGAGTTTTATATTCACGTGGCCGAACATGAGGGATCTTTACGTAGATTGTAGTCAAAATAAAATTGAAAGAAAAAAACCAAAATACGATTTTATTACAAAATATTTATAGTTTAGATATTTTTAAATCTATTATATTTTTTATTTTTATTTTTTAAAATAATGCTCTTAATTTAAAATTATCTAAATTATATTTTAATTATTTTTCATTATTTTGACTTATTATAGTGTTTTGATCATGACAATAAAAATACTTTAAAACTTATTTAAAATAATATAAATGAGCCAAATAGAATCAAAACATAATATAAATCATATGATATATATATTCAAATAGATATATATATAATATTACCCAAATAGAAATTAAAATTTGATTGGTTAATAATGAAAACAATATAAAACCTATTCAAAAATAATATAAATAATCCAAATAAACTCATAATCTTAACCAAGTCAACTATAAGCTTAAAATTTTGATATTGTAATGATTTATAACCAATGATGCATAATATAACATCATTTACAGTATTTTTCAATAGCATTTATAGTGTTTTCAATATCTCAATAAGACCAATGAAGATACTATAATAGTTTTAAACTGACAATAAATAAATAAAAATATTATAAATCATACTATATTAGGTTAGATTATATATATATATATATATATATATATATATATATATATATATATATATATATATATATATATATAAGCTTATTGAAACATAAGAATAATTGTTGTGATACATTGTTGATAACTCAAGACAAAATAGTTTGTTTAAGAGGTTGATTAAGAGAAACCCTTTCTTTTTTGCTAAAGAAGACAATATTTAGCAACTAAAAAAGTATAATAATAATAATAATAATAATAATAAAAGAAGTTAGCTAGTTGGAAGAGAATAATTTGATTCCGTTACTACAACCACCAAAAGAGTAATTGATTTGCTCTATAAATGTGTATGAGCTCGGAGATCAAATAAATATATAATCTTAAGGTAGCTTATACTATATATCATGATTCTTTAATTATGTCCCCCAAAAATAAAAACACAAGTGAACCGTTGGATTTTGGACTCTTGTCATATCCCCACAACATATTCTCCCGCAGCATATTTATCCAAATAGTATGTATATGTATGTTAGATTATGATACTTAATGATCAGAAAAGTTCAGATATGTAAAAAAATTATGAGCTTCGTTAGGGTAAAATTCATGAGAATCTTACAGACTCTCTCTAACCTTTCCCTACTTCGCATTTATTACTCCAACTTAGTATCTGACTTAACACACACACACACTCACTCACACTCTCTCTCTCTCTCTAAGTTAGCAAACACTCCCATTATTTAATTATTCGAATTCTAAATATATTTTATTTCGATATCTATTTCTATCAACTAATATAATAAATCTTAAAAAATTACATCAAGCATTAAAAAGGAATCAATACATGCAATGCACAAATATACAACTTCTGCAACTTATAACAATCCTCCTAGCTATGCCATCCAGTTCATTTCATTAGCATGTACTAAACAATGCAAAGAAATCAAGCACCAAATAGATCAATCTTTCTCTTATTTGGGAGTTTCTCCTTTGTCAGCAACCGTTTGACTTTAGTAAAGCCCTGTAAGTCAAGATATCGAGTCCTTCCCATTTATTGGCCGTATTAGGCCACGAAATTTGACCGGACATCACCACAGACACGACGCCGACCTCAGGTATTGGTTTCCTGGGTCATAAAGCGGCTCTCAATTTTAGAGTAACACCAAAGATTACAGCCATTGTTTCCAGGAAGTGCGGCTCTCATCCCCATCAGATCAGCACCGGTTTCCATGGTTCGCAGTATCCAGTCATTCATTACGTACAGTCATTTCATAATTATTATTTGTTTTGATTACTTGTCACCATGCGAAAAAACCTATATATCTTTAGATGTGTTTTGACTATAATTCATGCGAATTTCGAGCTTATGAACTCTTTTGATGAGTGTTTCTTGAGACATCTTAATGATTAATATATTATTATACAGTTTATGGATTTGATATTCGAGTTTGTGTGAGCTCTTATGCATCGTTCAATATTATAAATATTTTTCCTAATTTAATCTGTTAATGATTAGGGACTCAATTTAAAATTTAAATAAAAAGTTTACAGTAATACCTTACATGATACCCATTAATTTTCTATAAAATGTAGTTCATAATTAAGTGAAGGCCTTAATTTGTCATTTAAACATTGTAGGATAATTTATGGAGTTATGCTCCTACATGCTAAGGGAAGGATTAGAGAAAGGGATACCTTCCTTAACATAGGAGGTTAACAAGCAAGTGCCATAATTTTTTTGGATGAGAAAAGTTACATTATATTTCATTATATTTTTTTAAAAGGATAATGATAAAAAAAAATTTTGATTACACGATAAAGTTTTTACCATCAAAGTAGCAAACAACTTTAGAATATATTGTTGGTTTGATATACCATCTAGATAATATTTTAAGTATAAATTAATCATTATATATCAATTTTATTTGATATCTTTTTTAAGAAAAATACATTGAAAATATTTACTCTAATAAGTGTTTGACATGTGGTAATCCAGTCAGGATTTAGCTCATCATAAAAAGTTCATCGGGTCATAGAAATTAATTTCGATAACCATTCATTAAAATTACTATACCATCATCGATTATTAACTTAAGCATAAAAAAATCTTTATGCTGATTTATCATAGAGCATGTACTCTAGTTCGCTTGGATTCTCGAAGAGTATTTGAGTCACCTTATCGATCACATCAAAATTTCTTATGCACATAAGTCTCAATCTAATCGAGTTAATTTGGATATCATCGGTATTTTTCTTATCAACTTCTTCTAATATACCTTTATGTATCTTTGCACAATACGAATATAAGATGGAAGTCTCCTTAGCTTCAAACACTGTGTGACACCACGTGAAAACAGAAGACGACTCTCACATGACTATGTCGATGAAAATAATATTAATTATAAGTGCATGTGACACTACATGTGAATTTAAATCGGGGATAATAGTGTAAAGCTGAGTTAGTGTTGCATGTAATATCCACTTTTAAGTACTCGATTCAGTTTCATTATTTTATTTTTATTTTTGGCTTTTATTTTTCCCCCTGTCAATAGAAATTTTAATCACTGAACCATAGAATTTGTTTGCTCTTATAGCTACGAAAGCCATAGTATTGATCAGAAAATGTTCATCTTATTCAACTGATTTCAAAAAAATAATCATGTAATACTTTTAAATGACGGATCCAATGTTTTTAGTCATGGAATTTCTTATTTAATCAAAGAAAAAAAATTAATCTACACATCTGCTGCGACAAAGCAAGTCACTCATTTGATCATCATCGATATTAAATTCACACCGTCCACATTTGGTATAGCGTATGGGTTAGTGATGACAACAACAACATTAAAAGACGTCCACCAGTGTTTGCTTTCATTTGCTTCCAATAAGAATTGTTTCCTCCATTCGCTTACAATGTTGCAACAAAAATTACAAGTGTATACATACATATAATATAAGAGAGAGAGAGAGAGAGAGAGAGAGAGAGAGAGAGAGTACGTAAGTTATGACTTGCAGTGTATTCCTGTAAGTGCAGTTTCTGCATAGCCGCCACCTATATAACCATTGTTGGCACATAATAATGCTCTCTATTATCACTATTCGTTGGAAAAATTACTATTATATTTAATACAAATTCATAATAAATATTTTTACTCGAGCAGTTTATATATATATATATATATATATGTCACATTAAACGTTCCCCCATGCACGTAGATCCCATACCAAGTGATCTACGTGATGCGTCGCGTGATGAATGGGTCCCGCCTCCCATTTCAGGACCCGACCACGTTGTGTGGCCAGCCAAGAGGGCCCCGCACGGACCGGGAGCACGAGGCTGTCCGCCACTTGAGCCAACACGGTGGGTCCTATATAAACACCTGTATACAAAGAGCCATACATATGCGCATCTAAAAGAAGCCCTAATATACATACATTATGTTCCCACCTCCCCCGGATAAAAGCTTCCCTATGCATTCTTCCATTACTGCGAGCACTAATAATGAAGTTTCTCTCTCCAGGACTGGTAGAAGAAAGATAACGAGAATATACCTTGGTGCCCTTGTTGCCAACAGTGTCACTTGTCATACTATAATATTGCTCCATGATGACAGTCATTTTCCATAAGGGAGTCATGATCTGTGAAACCTGTCCCTTCTTCCTGCAGAAAAGGTGTTTTAATACGAGGGGGGTCGCATATATCAATGCAGCTTCTGAGTGCAATGCATCCATCCCTACCTCTCAGGCAATAGGAAGCATTCCCACATTGTCTCACATGCATCATACTAGTAATCAATTCATCAACTACCAGCATCCAAAGTAGGTTTCAGAAAAGAGAAAAAGAGAGAGAGAGAGAGAGAGAGTGGTGATGCCATATTCTTCTCCGTTTCACTGCTGACAACACATTCATGGCTCACCTAAGATGCCTTTCGATCGGTTGAGCTGGGTCCTGATATGATGCATCTGGTCTCCCTTTGTCCATCTACAGGAGAAGATGCCATGCATAACGTGTCCATGTCGGACGACTGAGAAATACATTAATTTGCACAAGGCAATTCGATATTTCCATTGACAGACCTCTACTTATCTTTGGGAAGCTTTGACGGTATTCTTCATGACCACCGTGCCAAACGAATCAGGTTGATGAGGAAGATAGAAGCAGCACCCAAACCTGAGAAGCTTAGTTAACCCAGGCATTAGGGCGGATTCGCCATGGAAAGATTCCTTCAACCGAGAACTTGCTGTGGACATCCTCTTCAACTGATATAAAAATGTGGCTGCAGAACGAGATAAGCAATCATTGGTTCTATAATTT